TACGACAGGTGAACACAATGAAAGTGAAGGATTTACGTGAGGACGGATGGTTGAAAATTTAGCAAATTTGAACACACAAATTCATACGATTGATGGATCAAAATACTCTTATAAAATATGATGTGTGAGCAAATGGACAAAATCAGACGACAAAGATGTTTTGCATAATAAAAGATTTGATTTGAGAGTTCAAATATCAAAAAATGATAGGATAAAAATGAGTTGCACTTTGAAAACATATGATAAGATCGTTTTGAGTCAATATCGATTATTTCTCCAACAAATTTGCCCCTAAATCGTTTTCAGAGGCAACCTGCTCTTCCCGTTATGGGAAGGAATCCAAAGAATCACAAATACATGGAAGAATATAAAAAGCTGCCAAAAAAAAAAAAAAAACATGCTTTGCATTTTCTCTTCCACTATTTACGTCGAATAATTGATTAGCATTTTTCCTTTTCTGAGTGCCAAAAATATTACCAATTTCGGGCATTATTCTCTCTGCGAGGCTCTGTATATAGAGCCATCTATTAGGAAACCTTTTTCTTTAAAAGGGCAATCGCGGAGAGAAGTTTTAAAAAAAAAAAAAGGCAAAGAAAATGGCAGAGATTCTGTCAAGCCTCCTCTCATGGCAAAGCAAATGGCAGAGATTCATAAGGTTTCTTTTGGTGTCCTTGCAAGTCTTGTTCTTGTTTTTGCAATCTTTTTGCCTGCCGTTCAGGGCCATGGCCACGAGGGTTTGGCCCCCGCTCCTGCTCCTACAAGTGATGGTGAGATTTTGCCTTTTTTTATTTATGTTGTTGGTTGGTTAAAAGTCTTAGATTTGATGTTCGTTATTTAATTGCTTTCGCTTGAAGATTTTTTTCCTTCGTTTAGCTAAAATGCTGGAAATATGTGATTTCTTTGTTTTTGTTTGGATGGGCAGTAATTTATTTTTTGTCCCAAGAAGAAGAAGATTGTATGTAAGCATAATCTTAATTTTACTGCAATGATATTTGGGTAATTCTGATTTATTAGTTTTTCATGGAAATCTGGTAATTCGCGAACATTGACGTGTATATTTAGGCTGGTATTTTCGCATAATTGACTATTGGTAGAAAGCAATTGAATCATCTGCTTGAAAATTGGAATAATGATTTCTAAAATCTCGGAAGGATTAAATTGTTACAAGAACTTGGTTAGCCCTTAAGAGGGGCGCTATGAGACTCATAAGTAGTCGATAAATGTATTACCTTTTTGGAATCTTGTGACATTTCTTGGTATTACTCTATGTCTAAATTATTAGAGTAACCTACATGTATATTGATTTAAGATATCTATATCGTTGATGATTCATAAACTCGTTAATGAGCCGTATATGTATTCAACTTTCTGTGCAAATTCACTTCAAGTATACATCACAAGCATTTCTTGCCTATAGCAAATTTACAACTGGAGCCGAACCTTGGTCTCAAAATCTTCATACGATCTCAAATTTCACCCTTAACCCCTCCGAATGAGACTCGAACCTAGCTCCGTGACTTGGTAAGTCTTTGCTCTTACCACTTGAGCAAGACCTTGATCTCAAAGTCTTTATATGATTCTATCTCAGAAACATATGCATATTTGATTACCCTTTGTTCTCTTGTATATAAAAGTCCTGACTAGTAGCTTTTACTTTTATCTGTTACTAGAATTGAAGCATTTTGTAAAGTCATTTTGTTTTGCTCACTCATTTCTTTGTTGCATGTCTCAAGTTTTGCATAAATATGGTTTGGATGTCTATTTTAGATGTTTCAATTAATGAAAAAAGTAGATGGAGGCTTTTAAAAATCGAAATTTTTTATTCAAGATTAATTATAAATCAATTTCCTTGTTGCTAGCTATGCTTGGGAAGCATGGACATTTCCAATAAATGCCCCAACATTTTTTTACTTGGGAGAAACCAAAATTTACTCGAGCAAACATGGTAGCTTCCTGTGAACTATTAAAGCATGCTCGGTACACAACTCTATACAGTAGTGTTTAGTTTAATAGATGAGATCTTAAACTTTTTGGTTCTTTAATACTGTTTGCTATTGTCCATTCATATAAACGTCCTCGAAAATATTTTTAAGCTATTCTAAATTGAAATCTTTTGATCTCTTTTCTCTTTCTGATTTGATGATACTAACGGGTACGTTGAATAAATGAAGTAATTACACTCGAATTTTACCTCTCTGTGTCTTGAATGGTTTCCAGGTACTACAATTGACCAAGGGATTGCATGTGGTCTGATGTTGTTGGCACTGGTGCTCACATACCTCATCTATTCAGGGCCATGGCCACAAGGGTTTGGCCCCCACTCCTACTCCTACAAGTGATGGTACTACAATTGATCAAGGGATTGCATGTGGTCTGATGTTGTTGTCACTGGTGCTCACATACCTCATCCACGCCTTTGATGCTCCATTGAACATCTGAGATATAATCGAGGATGAGTTAGTGAATTTATGCTTAGGTTTCATTTGTAGACTAAAAAACGAGTTATGACGTGAATTATGTACTCTATCTAAAGACTTTCTTAATGCTGGTTTGCTAAGAATGGGATTTTGATTCTCTACCTTAAGTTCTAACTCTGAATATATTGTTTCATTGCTAGTATTGTTAAAATTTATAATATCTATGGCTTCTTTTTTCTTGGGCTGTTGATATTCATAATGGCTTCCAAACTTTCTGAGATGTGAGGGAATGTTTCACCAAATAATCTAATCGAACAAGTTGCATCCTTTTTTCCCAATTGAAACTTGTTACGTATAGACATCTAATTGTCTTGGGTTTGTTTCCCAATGGTCACTGGTTCTTGTCCCCTCAGGGTCATTGAGGTGAGTATTCGGCCGTAAACTTCAGGGCCTCGTGGAATTAGTCGAGGTACGTACAAGTTGGTCTGGACATCCATGGTTATCAAAAAAAAAAATTGACTTCCATTTTTTCTTGTTGCGAACTTTCTTCTTGTCATGGTGAAAAGGAAGTGATGCTCCAAAGAACAATTTTTATGTAAGGAATGACGTTTTTTGTATTGAATCCATTTATGATATATTTGCTAAGGTGTTTTGGACTCAAATTTCAATTGAATATCACTCGTCATTCTTTTTACCCTTTTGGCATTAAATTCCTTGCCTCATTTCCCAAGCAAAATTTACAGAAATGCTGCTGGCTACTTGTTCCAATTCTCACCATAGAATTCCGGCACCCCACCTATGGGTCTTATATGAGGCGAGCCGCGGGCACGAGCCAAACAACAATTTGGCCATGTGAGCTGCTCATCAGCTTATGTTCGTGATAGCTTGCCCACGGCTCGCCAAATTAAGAAAATATAAAATTTTAATTTTAAAAAACATGGCAAGCCATGAGCGGAGGGGCAAGCTCGTGGGCGAGTCAAATCTAGCCGTATTTAACAAGCTTAGCCATCCTACACCATGGGATATAGAAATGGAGTATTGGTTCTCAACCCATTGTTCGATTTCCAACCTTTGAGATAGAGAGCGAACTTATTTAGTCCCAAGAAAAGAAAAAGTTAAGTTTCCATTAGAGAAGTATCATAATGTTGTTACATGTGTTAGTCGATTCCAAACTTACATAAAACTTATGTAATATAATTTCTTCAAAATCCAATGTCGAATAGCTTAAAAATTCCATTAAAAGTTCAAGGAATCAACTTGCAACTTTCGTCTTTTTGAGGGATTGTGTGTTTGTGGATAAACCAATAGCAAGCATCGCAATGATGAGTAAATGGAGCTGCAGGCAGAAAGACAAATTTTGGACCCGTGATTGCAAATTGGCAGAAAGCAACTTGATATATATAGCACATGATAACATGATGCAGTCGAAGTACCAGCCACCTTGTACATCTTAATCTAGCAACAGCATGCGGAACCACACTGCCGCTGCCCTTGGGGCACGCCTCTTGCACAAATTAGGGGTGGACGTGATTCCATTTGGTTTCGGTTCCAAGAAAACTGAACCGAACTATGAACCAATTTTTTTTTTTATAATGGATTCGAATAGTTTTTTTAAGATATGGAACCAAACTGAACCGAACCTCTAGTTTCATTTTTAAATTTTTTAGTTAGTAATATATACTTAAATAAAAAAAAACTAAATATTAAACAATCAGCAAGGTCGACTTATTAATCATCAAAATAATAAAAGTTCAAACAAACAAACAAAATAGAGTCATAATTTGAATACACAAATCAATTTTTATTCCCATATACAAAAGATTGTTTAATAAATAATAGTAATGATTCACTAAATTAATTGCAACAGTTTTGACGACACTTTTACATCCACTTTTACATATGACCATTAAACGTTTAATACTCCATAATGTTTTATTGGATTTTCTTCTATTTGTGAACACAAATAATTCATCAAACAATCAACGTAAAAAAATAATTTAAAAGCTTTTTAAGTGACTGACCAATTTTATTTTTCTATCTTGAAAAGTCTCCTTCACTGACATAATTAAATGCAGTGCTAGCGTGCCATGAGCCCATGACGTTGTGTGAATTGAAAAGGAATGAAGGAGAAATTATTCAAATGAATACAAATTTTTTTTTTTTTTTTTGGTAGAACCGAATCGAAGGTTTGGTTTGGTCTGGACATTCTTTCCATCCCTAACACCCACAGCCTCAAAATCGATATCTTGTGATGAAAATGAAAAATCTCAAGTAAAACTTTCTGCAATTGTCTTTTAGACCTTCAGAGAGTATGCAAACAATTTTAAAGCGAAAAGAAACTGAACTTGACTATATGCATCAATGAAAAATAATCAACAATATCGTAGCAAACTGGTTGCTCCACGTAAATACAAGGTGAAAGAAAATAACGCAGACAACTGATCTATAGTGACAGATTAATAACTGATGCATAACCTAATCCAACTCTTCCTTAAATTAGAATCAGGTTGAGATACACTGGTTCACCGAGACGGTGAAGTAACGATAATATCCAGTACTTACTCTATGAAAGGGAGATTTGTCTCAAACACCTGGCGACGGAGGTATAGGCGTTGAATTATCAGATGATGGCCTATTCTCAGAATCCCTCTGTCGAACATTTTCAATCATCTTGAGCACTTCCAAAATTTTTGGTCTCTGGTCGGGCACTCTTACCACACATGCCATAGCTATCTGTAGCATCTCGACCAATTCTTCCTCTATATTTGGATATCTTAGCAGCTCCACATCGAAAACTTCAGCAGTCCATTCTTCTCGAACAACTGAATGGACCCATCGTACCAAATGTATAATCTCGTCACCATTAGTAGTATGGACAGGGGACTTACCAGTGAGGAGCTCGAGTAACATCACACCAAAGCTGTAGACATCAGACGGTTGTGTTGCTTTACGCGTGTCTGTAAGTTCTGGAGCACGATAACCAGCAGCAAGAGCAATTCGTGGAGCCAATGCACTTGTAATTGTTGATAGGCAAAGATCTGATACACAACCATACTGTCGAGAATTCAGAAATATGTTTGCCGATTTGAAGTTTCCATGAACAAGCTTTCCACCATTTTCTGCATGGATACGAGCAATACCCCTCGCAGCACCAATGGCAATCTTCAGTCTCGTTTCCCAGTCCAAATGAGTCCTATTTTCCCCTCCTTTTCCTGCATGTTCAGATGCAGTTCAGAAGAGAAAACCATTGCTAATAACACTAACCTTTCCAAGTAAAAACACAACAAAGTAAGCCCCGAATCTTGTAGGGCCAATGTTTAAATCTGGGACAGTTCCTTATGTCTGTTGGTGCAAGTATTATAACTAAGACAGAGGATGGGAATGGACTGATGCAGATATTCGACTAATTAAAGCACATGATTCTCTATCAACAGAATAAGCTCTCAATTTAACTCGTGTTCATAAATGAAGCATGACATGCAAAAATCAGTGCAAGATTAACATTTTATTTTAGGTGCTTTCATCCGAGTTGCTACAAGTTTATTTGGATAAGTAACATAAATTACGACTAAACCAGGGTTCAATCAAGGGAAAAAGAGGGTAAATTTGAATTTCGATAGATTTACTTTTTAAAAATTTTGAACTAATTTAAAAAAATCTCATTCCAATAAACAAAAACTTAAATATTATCGAATGCGCCTAAAATCGAAAAAGTAGTTAATCATTTCCAGTATTAAGTATTGAATTTTGTTATCGAACATTCACTTACTATGTACTATGGCATATTCTCATAGCTTAAATGTACAGTGCATGATGCCAAAAACCAAATAATAGAGATTGTTAGGCTAATGTTTCAAGACATAGTTCATAGAGATTCCTCTGCCCCACCAAGATGCTCGATTATATTTGAATCATCAGGTTAATATAATTATCAGAGCTGGAAAGACAACCTAAACAGCCTACCGACCGAGTGGGTTCCTAGTCATCACTTTGGCCTAGGCCTGGCCCTACCAGTAACTAACAAATTAGTTGGGCTTTAGGAAGCAGCACACAGTTTTTTAGATTACTTATGAGTAGAATTCAAATGTATTGTTCAAAGAACATAACAAAGTGGCAAAAAAGTATTCATCTAGTCGACCACAAATTCATTGACAACAAGACTTAGTTTGTTGTTGTTGCAATCGTTGTCTAAAGGAATTTATATTCAAAATTACAGTTATGCATATATGTATAATTTCTAGCTCAAAAGGAATTGTCTCCGTAAATCATAATAATGCAAGATTTTAATGAAAAAGTCCAATCTTCAATGTCTTTGCAAGAATATGATCCTTAGAGTTAAAGCATGCTTTATAGAATAAACGATAACATGAAATTTGCATAAATCAAACAAAACATACCATGTAACATCGAAGCAACACTGCCTTGACTGAAGTAATCATAAACCATAAGCTTCTCGTCCTTTGAATAATAATAAGCCCTCAGTTCAATGACATTCTCGTGCTTTATGGTTCCAACCACCTCCATTTGCTGTTCGAACTCCCTCTTTCCGACGCTCACATCCTTCAACCTCTTCACCACCACTGTGGTCGCATCCTCAAGTATCGCCTTATAAGCAATTCCAAAAGTGCCCTTCCCTAGAACTTCAGCAGAAGCCCTTAACAAATCCTCCAAATCAAATGCATAATTGCATCCCTCGAAGAAAACCAATCTATTATTCGCATCTTGACTCCGAGAAATTGCTTTCTCCGGCGACATGCCTCCTCTTTCCAATTTGCCAGGAAAACCATCCTCTTTCTTTCTCTTAAGAAAGCAAACAAACAATAGAAAACCAAAACCAAGAAGCCCGACAACAGAAACAGCTACAACTATTTCGAGAAAAGCCCTTTCACTCAATTTTCCTACACTCTTACTTTTAGGGTTTTCATCACGAGGAGCCAAAACAATAGGAGAACTGGAAACAGTATACTCCAACAAAGAATCATTATTACCCAAAAAAACTGATTTTGGGAACCTTTGAAGTGATTTGGGGACAGCACCATTAAGATTATTGTATGAAATATTCAGAAACTGCAAATTTGGCAAACGCGAATCAGGAATCTCACCAGAAAGTGAGTTGTTAGCAAGATCCAAACTAGTGAGCTGATTCAAATGCATAATCCAATAAGGAATGCTGCCATTGAATCCATTATTAGACAAATTAATAACAGTCAAGTTCTTCCACACAGAGAAATCCAAAGGCAAAGGACCCTTAAAATTGTTGTACTGAAGATAAAGATAAGAAAGGTTTCTAAGGTTACCAAAATCCAAAGGAAAACTCCCATTAATACCATTGGATCTGAGGCTCAAGATCTGCAATGCTGATAAGCGGCTCAATGTATTCCCTGGTATAGGTCCATGAAAACCAACCCCAGGTAATCTCAGTGAAATTACCCTTGAGCCATCTTCACTGCATTCAACTCCAGTCCAATAATTGCACACTGGAAATTGCTCATTCCAGTTCAAAGCCCTTAAATGAGGAAGCTTTGCAGCAAAATCCAGCAATGCCTGCTTGTCATTTTCAACAAGAGTTGCAGCAGCACTGCCATGAATTTGTAACAATAATAAGAAGAACCCTTCCAGGAAAAACAGGGTAAAAATTTGAAGCCTCTTCATTTCAAGAGTTTCTTTTTTTTTCTTGGCTCCAAAAGCTCACTAGTTTGAACTAAACAGAGAAGCTGAAAGTCTGATTAAAAAGAAGCAAATTCCAAGAATGGCGTCTGAAAAGTAGGGTGGGATTCTGGGAAAAGGGATTTAAAAATGGAGGTCACAAGGTTTGAAATAAGGGGATTTGAGTCAAAAGGGTTTATTTTAAACAAGTGTTTAGGCTTAGAACAGAAGCTATACAGCTTTTCTTTTTGTTCTATGCACTTTTTCTTTAGGGTTGAGTGCCAAAAATCAAAGAATTCTCGACAGAATTAGACGAAATCAAGAACTTTTTGCAGTGTTTAGCAGTTTTCTAGAAACATGAGCAGACTTGGTGGGAAAATAAAACAAAGAAAGATCCAAGAGATTATTAATATAACTTAATTGAACGTATTAACTATGATCAGCACTAGTAGCATTTTCCTTTCTATTAGTACAGTCTTGCAATTCTTTGTATTAAACTTACGCTTCCACCCCTTCTAGACTTGACGTCCATGACTTCTTTTTTTTTCGAAACCGTCAAATATCAAATTTTTGTATTGAAGTTAACACCCTTTCAGAATTGATGTTCGCGACCTGAGTAAAACTTACCCTTATACTAACTAGTAAGGAAAGGAAACTCAAAGTGTTTATAAACTCATAAGGTTAACTTTTCAAGAACGACGCGAGATACAACTATATAAATTGCATCTCTAATTACTAAACATATAAAAGATTGATATAAAAATATACTTCCACTGAAACTCATTCCAATTAGCTATTTATTTATTTTTCCAAGAATTTAGGAAAAAAAAAAATGAATTTATTGTAAGCATTGAAGTTCCCAACTAGCAAAGTATAATTTTGAAATAAAGTAGAATCATCCTTACAAGACAACATGACCAGAAAAGTTTCAGTTCTTAAAGGCAACTCTCTCATCTAGCGTATATTGAATATCACGTTAAGTAATAATCATTTTTTGAATGATTTTAATCCTATTATAATTCAATTATTTCAATAATACCATACTTTTCATTTTCGATATATATCTAACTTATTTAACCATTTGGCTACCATCAATATACATGTACATTTGACAGATTTATTTCACTTGTGTGCTTTCATTGATGTATGAATTCCTTATTATTAATTCTCAATTAATTAACATTAACATTCACATTCACATTCACATTCATTTAATTAATATTCATATTCATTTATACATTTCAATGTTATTAATTCTAATTATAAGTTAGTTAGAATCTTAAATTCAATAATGCATTTCAATATTTTAGGTCAATGAATGTTAATTAACCTCCAATTTTACTAAATTAAAAATTAAATTTCATTGTTACGTATATATTCCATGGTATTGATTTTAAATTAATTAGCATATACGCATATTCAAATATTACTTTTACAGCACTTGTAAAACATTTCATAATAACGGATTGCACATTCAACTTTGATTAGTACAGCAAATGTCATTTACTCCATTAGAATCATTTTTTGATCTTTTTCTACTTTTTTTTTTTTTGACATTTGTATTATCAATCTTTCATTTGTAACACACATGCTTGTATCGTAGATCGGTGATCTATCCAATTTCTTCGTTAATTGGAAATTCAAATGTCTCTAAATTGAAAATTTATTCGAGACTCAAGTGTTCGTATGAATATAGGAAAAGTACTGAATTTTTTGAGAATAGTACATAGAATTTAGGCTGTGATGGGTGCATATCATATGGATAAGAAAGTTGGGACCCGAATTTGTGTATTTTCGTATCATTGTGGTGTGTCATTTGGTGGGAAAGCCACAAAGAAATAAGTGGGTAGTGTATGATATTCTGCTAAGAATTTCCCAACAGAAAAAAAGCTTTTTATTGATAAGGTGAATTTTGGTTGTTTCCATTGGAGGCTAGACCTAGATTACTACTTTTTGCCCAATTTTGGCGTTTCTTTCACATGGGATGATGAAAGTGTCAAAAAAAAAAGAAAAAAAGTATATATGTTATTATTTGTAAATATCATTTTCTTTAATAAAAGTTACTGTATCATAGGATTGTGTTGGGTCTGTTTGGGCAGGATTAAAATTTGATTTTAATTCAAGTCAAAGTCAAACAATCAATATTAATCACATCTTTCATGGATTTCACGTCTTTTCAACCACACATTTCAAAATTTTTTATCACAATTCACTAAAAATCTAATTTTAATTCTCACCAAACACCCTCGTAATTTTTTCATCTGCACTACATAAGCATAGCAAAAAAAAAAAAAACATATTAACTTATGAATTAAACTACTTGTACATCACTTTTGTACATTATGGATGACATTTCATGATGTGTAAAAATTGAGATCATCAACTGTATTAAGTGTCGTTGAAATCAATGGTAAAATTGCATGTCGCATCATGGAGTGTAACTTATTTCGACCTACGTTTAAGTTCAGACTTCATTGCTTCGATTAACGAAAAGCTAGAATTTCTTCAAATTCCTTCTGAAATGCCCCTCCCCCCTTTCCCCACAAAATATTGAATCGAAAAGAGAATTTTGTTAGCCACTATAGTTTAAGAACTTAAAGGTTATTCAAAACTAAGTTTGCATATGTCGAAGGAGGTCCGGAGAAGGTAGGATGACATGTATATGGAGCTCTACTATTTTTCTTCTCAATTCGATGGTATGGCTTGAGTACTTGCAGTCGGCCGCTTGTGTTGTCTCAAAAAATTACATATCAAATATAGACTACTCATTTTTTTTAATACAATATTCGATATAACAGACAAGATTTAACACTTATATCCCATTAAATATTGTCCAATTATAGCATTTAAGAATCCTATTTTTCTCCTTGAGGAAGGCTAGTGGGGTGAATCATTATCTTATTTTAACATGTTGGTTGGTACACATTATTATGATAGAATTTCAAAAGGCATTCACAATACATTATCAAGAAAAGCTTTTAAATCATGACAAATTGACAACTCATACTCAAACCACCCAGATTAAATTGTACAACTACCCCTTTGTTGGTGTATAACACTAAATTGTGTTTGGCACTTTGCATTTTATCTTACATAAAACTCATAATATTCTCTTTGTAGTATTGGGGCTAAAAATGGATTCTTTTTTTATTTATTTATCCAAATTCATTTTGCTTTTGGGAAAATGTTGTTTAGTTGAAGAAGATGAAGATTGAGTTGAATTATGTGGAAACAAATCACGTGTGATTGTCTGATTTGTGTTTGTATGTTGAATTATGTGATTTGACAAATTTGGGTTGTTTAGTTTCGAAGAAAAATATGTACTGTGTAAAAAAATATAAGTGGAAAAATTGACTAAGACGTGAATAGATGATAACTTGAAATCCGACACAACTCTACTTCTAACCCACGCCAAAACATGCTCAAAACGTCAACTTTTTTACAATAAAAATAGGGAAAGGACAGTCTGTAATATTATTGGGAGAAGTTCGCCGAATGTCTATATAAAAGTAACATAGCCTCTGTTTGACAACTATTTTTACAAAATTATTTTTTCTTAAACTCATTTTCAATCACACATTTTCACGATACAATATTTTTCACGTAAACGTAAAAATTTTTCCTACATTTTAACTACACATTCTTCAAAAAATCACTATTTAAAACTCATTCATCCTTTTTTTAAGGATAATTTTACTTGTACAATTGAGGTTGACAACCTCTCACATGTATGCAGGATTCGCGTGTTTAAAAAATTCAAAAAAAAAAAAAATAGACCCCCCATGTGAGTGGTTGTCATCCGAGGTTGTTAACCTCAGTTGTACAACTAGCACGGTCATTTTTCTAATGATTGTCAAATAGGGGGTTAGTGGATTACAAAATACTATTTGGGGAAAGTGGAATCATATTTAATTATTATATTGCAAACAAATGTCAACAAATCAGAGTGGCGCAGCGGAAGCGTGGTGGGCCCATAACCCACAGGTCACAGGATCGAAACCTGTCTCTGATATTAGAGTTGCTTCTAAAAGTGCCTCCCTTTCATTTTATGAATGCCTAAGCTTTTTGTCATTGGGTCTTTTGTCCCATCTTCACCATAAGCAGCAATGGTTTTCCTATATGAATTTTACCAGGTAAATAATTCCAAATTTTGGTCCAAAGGAAAAATAAAACCTTTTTTTGTTTTCAAAGGGAAAATAGTAGAATTGTATTCAGTTAATTCTCATTATTTTTCGTCAAACATTTAACATAATTTTACCATTCATTGACACGAAATTTTCGTTGATCTAGAGTTTCTATTTCAAGAAGAGATGTACCATTCATTATAACATGACCTAGTTCTTTACATTTTTACAAAACATTGTAACATATCTTGAAATTCTAACATCATTCAGTATTTAGAATTGATGGCACGTTCAGCACGATGAACTAAACGTAAATCGACAAAATATCTTATAGATTTTATTGTATTGAAGGCACGACCGATAACTCGAGACGTCCTGTCCATTCTTCGCCTGGCTTCAAGGTGATTGGTTTCTCAATTGCAGCACCGTCAACGCACAACATCTGCTTATACTCTTCATCACCGAAGTCTGTAATGGTTTTGGATTTCTTCTCCCATGGATTCCAAACCACTGTTATACAGCAATGCTTTAAAGATGGATTGTTCTATTGCTCAAAGTAAGAACTCAAGTGAATGGGACTTACCAACATCAGGAAGTCCATCTTTCCTTATTACAAAAGTCCTCTTTTTCTCATGATCAAAAACTGCAACATCTGAAGAACTGAGGTAAACTCGATCCACCTACATTACAGGAAAACCTCGAAAGAACAAATTGAATCTCACTTGTGAAAAAGTATCGTTTTCCCACTCTTTTGGTGTTAAATATCTTGCAAAAATTGTCGTATAACTTGAGCGAACTTCAATGACATACTTATATGGGGTCAGCTACATTTTAATACAGATTGTAACAATTTCAGTATTTCCTTTTAGTCTTTTCAGTCAGCTTTCCAGCCTCCAGGTGCCATAAAACATGAAATATAACTAATTTTTAGCAGATAATAGTCGTAAAGGATAGAAAAAAACTTGCAAAGAAGAATTTCTTACCTCGGACTCAAATGTTAAGGCGTTTCCTTGTTCTGTGAAACGCTCTCTGTTGCACAAGTTGTCGAGATAGTCAAGAGTCTCGATCCCCTCTACTCTTACTTCACTGTCATTACAACAGATCTAAAGCTAAACTCTGCAAGTTTTAATACAAAGAAGAAACAAATGGACTAGAAATAGTAAAACTCAAAATATGTTGAGCTAATCAAAGTTTACGATCTCCATCTTAAATGTTTGGGAGCATTGTGCAAATATTGATTCAGATTTTATCTGATTTCTCTATCATTATTGAATCCAAATCCTTAAATCCTACTAATCATACAATACAATGGCATCAAAATCACTTTTTCAAATGTTACCAAGAACGTGATAGTACCTAATATCTGAGACAAAAAAATACGTATGGTAGGCGAATGAGAAACTGAAAGGCTTGCAATTGACATTTCTAATGCGCGATGTCAAGGTGAGATGTCCATCGACAGCCAGAGCCACCCTAAGACGGAACTCAAAACTGAAAAGGAAATTTCACCAAAAGAAAGATCATAAAATTTGATATATTTTCGATTGTTCTAGGTTATTCTTCAAGGGCATTACGAAAAATAGGAGTCCATACTTATGTGGCCAAATCTTGAGGTCATCTTCTGATGATTTGAGGAGCAAGTCAATATGTGGCTTTCCATTGGAATCAATGGGAAATAGAGGTGGAGGATTTTCATCTATAATCCACGTTCTGTTCCTGGCAAATCCATGTTGCTCTAATGAACCCCGGTTCCCAAACTTCAAGCAGAAATCAGAAATAAACATCAGTCAAAAACAGTTCATGCATGTGTACTCAGGGCTAAACATGATTCGACAATACAATGTACAAGATTTTTTTTTTTTTAATACTGTCAAGTACAGTACAATCTCCCTTACCAAACGAACCATTCAAGTTCAATATTTTTTGATTACCGAAATGCAAACAAATAAAACCAGACTACCTGAGGAAAACAAATAGGAATTCCTCCCCTCACAGCTTTTGGTGGCTTGAAAATTGCCTGCCGGTAAATCAATTACAAAAAATACGACCAAATGGTCAGTTCTTTATAGGAAATCGAAATTATCCACAGTATCTGATAGTTTACAATTGCAAATGTAAGAAAATATGCTATTTCTTTCTATAGCTTGGATTGATATTTGAAATTTTGTGTAGACGTATTTGATTGTAACGCGAAGAGTTAAAATCAGCTTCGGAAATTCACCTTACTACTTGTGAATAACAACTCTTCACCCAATTCAGTCTTCCACGAAAGAACCTGTCCTCCATGAAGGCTAATCTGAAGACAAAATCGAAATCAATTTTTTCATCTTAAAAACTAAACCAGAATTTTTTTTGAGAACTTAATAGTATAAATAACATCTAACCCGAGATGAAGCCCCACGTGGACTCCGAAGGAGCACCTGAGAGATTCCATTCTTATCTTTTGTGACTTCAACTGCTGCTTTCTGATCCCTATCTGCCTCGGAATAATCCATTTGAAGAATGCAAATACAGTGTTCAAATTGAACAATATTGGACAGTATTACAAAAGAAACAAGAAGTTAAACAATTATACTTTCAAGACCTTTAGAGTACCTATAACAAGACTTTATATTGAGTTTCCAGTATGAAAAAGACAGTCAAAAACTCAAAATTTTAGCATTCACTAATGCAGTTGAGAATCTGAGCTCTCTCTTAAAAGCTTTCTTGTGACAAAACCATTTTCTTGTGAATGCTTAACAAAATTGTACCTAACAGATAACAGATTCAACTACCTCAAATTTTCTCACCTCTAAAATTTAAAGCACAATCAAGAACCTCGCAGAATTCTCGGATAAAAATAACTTCTAGAGAAAATCAAATAATTTAGATGTCAAGAACCAAGAATAAGAGGTTGAAAATATGCCAAATGACAATGCATTTGGCCTAATCATGTGAAAAAGTCCCAAATATGACATTTATGAAATGGATATATGAGAAATATTTGTTTTAATCTAGAAAGAACTGAAACACAATAGATGCCTGCACAAGATGGTATCTTTTAAGAGAGATTGGTCTTTGTTTTTGCTTTGAATTTTCATTCTTTTTTTTCTTTGAATATTAAAAATTGAAAAGTCAGATCTTGAAGAGGCCATTATAAACTTATAATCCTTTGATCTTTTGAGATTGAGTTACTCTGTTTGATGATAGACCCATAAAGCTCAAAGGAGCAATTCAATCCGTCAAAACTCAAACAAGCCATCTGGATTGCCAGCATTCTCTAATGAGAGTCACATCTTGCCATGACAAGTTAAGTGTGCTAGAGCATAAGGGTACGATTCAAGTTGTAAGACAGGTTTATCTTTGTTGTTGTCATTGAACTTGTCACCCTTTCTTGAATATAAAAAAATTGAAAGGTCAGATCTTGAAGAGACCATTATAATCCATAGATACTGTGTTTTGAGGTTGACTAAAATTAGATGATGTCATTTGAATGAATATTATATTGTATATTATATATGACTACATTGATACTGTACATGAGTACTAAGAAAACATGATACCTTGATACCAAAACTAACTGTCTTATATATATCAATTTTTTTTTGCCCTAGATATATCATATCTTAGCTAGTGGTTTATAATAATTTATGTTAAATTGAGAAGTTAAAATGTCGCTACCTCGATTAAATATTGGAGTATTTATATATCCCAACATAGATGGCTCTTGGTGAGTTCTAGTAAATCTTTCGACAAGGTGAGTGTAAAATACTACGGGAAAACCACGCGATTTATTTCCAACCTGTGAAAGTATTGAGTCGATTGAAGATGATATCTGCCTCCATAGGTTGAGAAGTATTGGTGCAATTTTTCTAAGCGAAGCCAAGACTCTTTGACCAACTCTATGTAAATGCTGTGTAGCCTTGTGTTTGATGTATCTAATGAATCAAGAAAGAGAATCTCTAGTCGACTTTTTCTAGTATTTAGATTTAGATCATCTGAAAAATAATTAGGCTTCGATTTTACTGTTTCTAGTATTAAAATTGGAGTGGTGTGTCACTAAGCCAACCCAGTTAGAGAAAATCCTATTCATTACCTATGCGAAAGTACAGAATTTTTATAGGCGTTGAGCAAAATGAATTTAAAATTTTGATTCAATAATGATAATGATAATGAAATATGTGCCAACATTTACATGATAGGTTATATTCTTCAATTCTATCTAGAATTATTCAGTCAAATGTCCAACGAACCAAAATACACGTGATGCCCAAAATACATTCTATTACAGACCCATTGATAAGGTATCAATGATACAAATTCATTCTATTACAGACCCATTTAAAATACATCACACGATAGACTCTCACTCCATCTTCCTAAAAAAACAAAATATCTGTGAAAACGAAGTTGTAGCAGCGAAGCTCACCACCTCCCTACCTGAGCATTCTTTTGCATAAAACCTCTTGGATCATCATCACTATGCAACTGAGTCCGCGTATAAATCAAGAAAACCAGCTGCCAAATGTAGGACGTGAAATGCAACTGCCATAGTTTCTTTTGGTTCATTTGGTAGAGTGACGGTATAATCATGTTTCATGCAGCTGCACAAACGGCACCTGTAAACAAAATGGAAGCAATAGCTATTTGTTTAGGTGGTTTATTCCTGGGAAACTTATTCTTGCTCGCTAAGATAAAAGTAATAATATTTATTTCACACATAAAAGCGCCTTCTCCGCACCCCCCCCCCCCAACCCACCTACGTCCCAAGTCTGATTTCTGCATCGATCATTGGCCCATACACCATCGCCCTATCAAGCTCAAATAGAAAAGAAGAAATAGTTTGCATCTACGAAGAACGTTGCAAGGTAATGGGATTTTGTGTGGAGAAAACATACATGAATAGTGTCATAAATGGGACCCTTCCACTCACGTCATTTCCACATCTACACAAAAGGACTAAGTGGGGGAATCAATCACGTACAGTTAGGACCTTGACATGGCTTTATTCTCCTTTTTGCTAACCATACAAAGAATGTGTTCTTTCAAGCAAGTAATATAAGTCAATCAGGCAAGCAATTTCAATACAAGAGGAGGATAATGACAAAGACTTCTACATAAAATGATAATGAGAAATTTTGTAATTTTACTAGAGGCATGACAATGTACACAGGGTTCATTTACTAATTTCAAGTGTAGATCAAGAGTGAGTAAGAATAGGAAAGAACCTGATGCCCAGGAAGAACAGCAAAACTTCCCTTCATCGACATGCTTCACATCGAGTCCAATGAACCAGGACCCAGCACTGACATCATCATGGGAATACGTGCGAAGAAATAATCTGCAAAACCAAAACCACCACCAATATCATCACTTCATTGCACAACAAAACATATTACGAGAAGATAAAGGAGTAATGGCACTGAAAGAACAGACCTATTAATCGAAATAAACTGAGCCAATGCTTGTGATATGGCAAACATTTCACCAGAGGCATGCCGAAAGTATCTGTTTATAGAGAAGAGTTAATTTTGCAGTACATTACAGAGACCTTAGTATGTAAAACAATTGAGGAAAACACTGTACTAGCTATAGTTAAAACATATAGGTTATTTGTCGCTTTAGTTAGTTACCAGCATGCATTACTAGACATTGGTATGGTGGCAGAATATATAGTAAATGATTAGGGGGAATGACGGTTAAGAGAAACTATACATATTTTAATTAAAGATGAAAGATAGTTCTACTGTAACTATTTTAATTTTGGAAATTATGGCAATTTTTCCCAGCAGAGCTTCCTGGCACACAGTGAAATGGCCCTGCCAAAATGTTTTCAATTCTAGGAAAACATGGGAGCCAGTCATATAATGTCCAGTTCCAAGAAATATCGTGATATACTGAGAATCATACTCACTTCATGGTAACCAAGTACTATAGAATATAACTCACCGATTGGTTTTAATGACACAAAAGTTAAAAAAAAAAATGAAAAGAAAAGAGAAGGGAAAGTCTACATATCAAATGTTGTAGCACAGTTACTCCTCTGATATTTGCTTTCGTGAACTGGAACACCCTCTTCACAAATAAATGTGCCAATTTTCCAAGGTTCTTCACATAGCAAATACTTTCCAGCTTCAGGAATTACTTGCCAGTTGCTCATTATATAGATTACAATCTGACATTGTACCTTATAAGATTAAGTTACTAACCTAATATCCCCATTCACTTGATAAAAGGATTTCAGCCATATAATTCACTTTCAATCATAAAAGCATCACCAATAGTTCAAATCATTAGTTACACATCTAGGGAGTTTCGAAGTAGAAAACACCATAAAAAAATATAAGGTGGTAAGGTCTGCTGGAGGCGGGAGCTGACAGAATATTCCAATCAGATGTTAGAAAATCCAAACTTATGGCACAATTAAAGGTCAGAACACTTATTTTGTCAGAAATGTCTAAGCAAAGCAACTAACAAAATCCATCTTTATTATCTTTCTTAATTAGAATAAACACCAAACTAATTCATTACACGAGACGAATTTCCAGAATCTAAGAAGTAATAGATAAATGAAATTAAGCAAACTGCTGATATCTAATTTATGCACAAACATTGTAGCAAAGGCAAAAAAGGTGAGGGGCTGATAACCTCAAACTCTCAAAATATCTGTTTGAAAAAGTCATGCTACTGTGCATGGAAGGAATTACATTGGCAGCAATTAATTTATTTCGAGGGAAGGGGAAACTACCGTTAATACTCAGGTTACAACCAATTCTACTCATTTGTGTCGAAAAGGTCACTTGGTAAGAATATGTATATATATATACAGAGTGAACAAACATCTTGTACTCACGATTTTCCATCCCCAAATTTCCACCAGTCTGGTTCATACCATTTGTGGGACCTGTGAATTCAGAACAAAATACATATAAGAGTAAAATCATACACCAATCTAAATCTTCCATTCTATAGTACATTACCAAAACAAAGATTTCAGTTAACTCACGGCTGCGAGAAAACTTCCCCTGACTTCATACACCCAATGTAAGCACGAGGCTGATCCAAATGACTGGAAAGAACAGCCCCAAGAGCATCTGCATGACCAAATAATAAAAAATGTAGAGAGGAATAACTCAAATTTCTAAATATTAAACATGCATAGTTCTTGTATCATCAAGAAATTATATGTGGCACGTGAAAATTGCAAGAGCTGTTTCTGTTGCTTTCATGCTCTGTCAAGTGCCCCGTGAAATGCATCAGATGCACATGATAGAGGACAAACTTGAGAGGTATCTTCCCTTGTTGACATTTATAAAATTGAAATGGGGAAACAAAGACTATCAATTTCTTCAATGTTTAAAATGAGATTTTAAGAAAAGTTTCTCTTTCGAGAGAATAGTACGATGAAAGTTGTAAGTGTGTTCGAGTAATCGGAATTGAGGCTTTTTTCCTTCATGAGGCGAGGTGTAAACCCCAAGGCGTTTAGAGGTATAAACCAAAAAATGTCAAAATATTATTAAAATGCAAAATAAGCAATTAAAAATCATAAAAATCTTCAAAATTCATAATGGAAAATTTTAAAATGTGCAACCAAATGAAAGAAAAATCTATAAGCCTGTTTGAGTAGGGGTGTCCAAAAGTCCTGAACCGAACCGAGCGGTTCTTCATAAGTTAAATACCCGAACGGATACCCAAATCGAGAATCGATGGGTTTGGGTCGGGTCTCGAGTCTAGACAAAGAACTTAATAACCGAATAAGAACCGAAACTAAATAAATTTTTTTATTTTTTATATTGAATTA